GTGTGTGTATGTGGGGTGGTGTATGTTGTGTGGTGTGTGATATGTGTCTGTGGTGTGGTGTGTGAGGGGAGTGGTGTGTATATATGGTGTGGTGTGTGATGTGTGTCTGTGGTGTGGAATGTGGTGTGTGTATGCTGTGGGGTGTATGTGGTGCATGTAATGCCTGGTGTGTGTGGTAAGTGTATGGTATGATGTGTGTTGAATGCATTTGGTGTGTGTATGGAGTGTGTATGGTATGGTGTATTGTATGTGTTGTATGTGTGGTGTATGGTGTGTGTGTGATGTGGGTGTGGTGTACTGTGTCTAACCATGTGATGGTGTGTGTGGTGTGTTCTGTGTGGTCTGTGGTGTGTGTATAGTGTGTGGTGTGCATACGTGGTGTCTGTAGTGTGGTGTGGTGTGTGTGGTGTGTATAGTGTGTTGTGTGTATGGTGTGTGGTAAGGTGGGTGTGTGTGATGTGTGGTGTGTATGGTGTGGTGTGTGGTCTGTTGTATGTGTGTGGTGTGTGTGTGGTGTGTTGTGTTGTATGTGTGTGGTGTGGTGTATATGCTGTGGTGTGTAGTGTATGGGGTGTGTGACATGGTGTGTAGTGTATGTATGGTATGTTGTGTGGCTTGTTTATGCTATGGTGTGTTGTATGTGTGGTGTGTGGTGTGTATGTGGTGTGTGTGGTGTGGTGTGTGGTACATTGTGTGTGGTGTGTGTGTGGTGCATTGCATATGGTGGTGTATGTTTTGTGTTGTGTGTCGTGCATTGTATGTGGTGTGTGTGTTGCGTGTTGTTGCATTGTATATGGTGTGGGGTGTGTTGTGTGTGGTGCATTGTATGTGGTGTGTGTTGTGTGGTGCATTGTATATGGTGTGTGGTGTGTGTGATGCATTGTATGTGGTGTGTGTTGTGTGGTGTGCAGTGCATTGTATATGGTGTGTGGTGTGTTGTGTGTGGTGCATTGTATATGGTCTGTGATGTGTGTATGTGGTATGTGTGGTGCATTGTATGTGGTGTGTTGTGTGGTGCATTGTATATGGTGTGTGGTGTGTGTGTGTGGTATGTGTGGTGCATTGTATGCGGTGTGTGTTGTGTGGTGCATTGTATATGGTGTGTGGTGTGGTATGTGTGGTGCATTGTATGCGGTGTGTGTGTTGCGTGGTGTATTGTATATGGTGTGTGGTGTATGTGTGGTATGTGTGGTGCATTGTATGCGGTGTGTGTTGTGTGGTGTATCGTATATGGTGTGTGGTGTGTGTGTGGTATGTGTGGTGCATTGTATGCGGTGTGTTGTGTGGTGTATTGTATATGGTGTGTGGTGTGGTATGTGTGGTGCATTGTATGCGGTGTGTGTTGTGTGGTGTATTGTATATGGTGTGTGGTGTGGTATGTGTGGTGCATTGTATGCGGTGTGTGTGTTGCGTGGTGTATTGTATATGGTGTGTGGTGTGTGTGTGGCATGTGTGGTGCATTGTATGCGGTGTGTGTTCTGTGGTGTATTGTATATGGTGTGTGGTGTGTGTGTGGTATGTGTGGTGCATTGTATGCGGTGTGTTGTGTGGTGTATTGTATATGGTGTATGGTGTGGTATGTGTGGTGCATTGTATGCGGTGTGTTGTGTGGTGTATTGTATATGGTGTGTGATGTGTTGTGTGTGGTGCATTGTATGTGGTGTGTGTTGTGGTGCATTGTATATGGTGTGTGGTGTGTGTGATGCATTGTATGTGGTGTGTGTTGTGTGGTGTGCAGTGCATTGTATATGGTGTGTAGTGTGTTGTGTGTGGTGCATTGTATATGGTCTGTGATGTGTGTATGTGGTATGTGTGGTGCATTGTATGTGGTGTGTTGTGTGGTGCATTGTATATGGTGTGTGGTGTGTGTGTGTGGTATGTGTGGTGCATTGTATGCGGTGTGTGTTGTGTGGTGCATTGTATATGGTGTGTGGTGTGGTATGTGTGATGCATTGTATGCGGTGTGTTGCGTGGTGTATTGTATGCGGTGTGTGGTGTGTGTGTGGTATGTGTGGTGCATTGTATGCGGTGTGTGTTGTGTGGTGTATCGTATATGGTGTGTGGTGTGTGTGTGGTATGTGTGGTGCATTGTATGCGGTGTGTTGTGTGGTGTATTGTATATGGTGTGTGGTGTGGTATGTATGGTGCATTGTATGCGGTGTGTGTGTTGCGTGGTGTATTGTATATGGTGTGTGGTGTGTGTGTGGTATGTGTGGTGCATTGTATGCAGTGTGTTGTGTGGTGAATTGTATATGGTGTGTGGTGCGTGTTGCAGTGTGCTGTGGTGTATGTGATGTTATGGTGTGGTGTGTGCTGCATTGTGTGTGGTGTGAGTATACATGACCCAGCATTTCCTCCCTCTCCCTCTCCTGTGGGCTCAAGGACATCTAAGTAGGGTGTCCTTCCCTCTGTCTTGGTCAAAGCTTAGGGCAGATTCCATGACAACCGGTCCTCTTTCACCATCTATTTGTAGAAATGTTTTCTCACGGCCACCTGAAGAAGAGAGCACGGCAGGCCTTCCTCCTGCAGGTCTTCAGGTAGGTTTGGAGGTCAAGTGCACAGAGAGGTGGCAGGAAGGAACTCCCACTGCAAGCTACTCATGGCAACAGCGGGGCGTGGGGGGGTCCCACCGAGGTCACTGCTACTAATGAGCCTCGCAGAGGTGCCTCTGAGGGGCCAGCAACACTGCCATGTGAAAAGGACATGTGTGGCATTGAATCAGGGCAATGTGGCGGCCAAAGAGCTGTGGTTGAATGGTCCAAGAATCTTTCCCAGAGCCTTTTAGAAAAAACTTAGGACACTGCATTGTACCATATGTTGTTTGTTTATATAAAACCAGATCACCTTTCACATTCTTTCCTGGTCTGATTCATTCATTCTCTTGTTACCAATAATCTCAACACAATACCTGCCCAGCAGACTCTAAAACCAACAAAAGGAAAACTTCTCACAACGAAACTGAGGAACTCACGGCAGACCCTCAGGCACATGGGAGGGTAGCAGGCTTCTGCTGAAGGTGGGTGTGAAGCTGGTAAGTGGGAAATTGGTTTACTGATCAACTGAAATTCATATTGCAATTTTCTATCCTTTTAGAAAGTCATATAATCTTCTGTGACTCTCCACTAGAAACTAGTGAGCTTCTTTTGCAAAGAAAAATTTGACAATAATGTTGAACTAGAGATTAATGAGTACATGAAGAAATAAGAAGCCCCTGATAGTGTTTTAGAAAATTAAAAATTGAATAAAGTTCTTTACAATCTGAGAACAAACCAACGCGGAGAAAGGTCACTGGATCCTTTTATAAACACAGGCGTTGCTCTCTCAGGGTGGGAGTGCTGGGCCACCACCCACACCACCCAAACCCGCATTAGACTGTGTCCAGCCCTTTGCAGATACACCTTGGAACTCTGATTCCTTGGCCCTCTGGGCAGCTGCACAGGGCCCGAGGTGGCCTGAGCCCCTGAACCAGGAGTAACTCTGCTCAGGGCTCCCGGGAGGGCCCATTGAGCCAAGCAGGACAGATGGCCACTGATGACACACATGCTGGGCAACGGCCAGTCAACAGAATCCAGACGCACAGTCCTGGTGTGGCCAAGGGTGCTGGCTACACCCAACTTCAGCAGCTGGCCCCAGACCAAGAGGCACCTTCGGGATCAGGGCCTGGGGCTGCTGGGAGCTTGAGGTCAAGGCAGAGGAAAGAGGACAGCTCAGATGGGGGATTCCAGAGATGGCTTGGTGGGTCCCTGGGGCCCAGCTCCAGGCAGTAGCCCAAAAGCGCGTTTTGGAGCCCATTTGAGGCTAAAATGCCCTTTTAGAAAGTCATGAAGTAGTTGCAGGGTGAGTGACTGATAATGCATGTTTTGCAATGGAGAGCTTCAATGCTGTGAAAAAGTTCTCGATGGGCCAGGCACGGAAGCTCAAGCCTGTAATCCCAGCACTTTGGGAGGCCGAGGCGGGTGGATCACGAGGTCAAGAGATCGAGACCATCCCGGTCAACATGGTGAAACCCCGTCTCTACTAAAAATACAAAAAATTTGCTGGGCATGGTGGCGCATGCCTGTAATCCCAGCTACTCAGGAGGCTGAGGTGGGAGAATTGCCTGAACCTGGAAGGTGGAGGTTGCGGTGAGCCGAGATCGTGCCATTGCACTCCAGCCTGGGCGACAAGAGCGAAACTCCGTCTCAAAAAACAAAAAAAAGAAAAAGCTCTTGATATGGAAATGCTCGAGTGAATATAAACTCTAATTTCAACTTTACAGTTGTCAATAAAAAGAAAGGAAGATGCTAGTGCAGAACAGGCAAACAAAAAAAAAAAAAAAAAAAGAAAGGGCTATTTAACATTTTCATCTATTTTTGCATTTAAAGTTTCTTATTAATAGTGACTGTCAAGAATTTGAGGAGGCTGGGCGGGTGGCTCACACCTGTAATTCGAGTGCTTTGGGAGGCCAAGGCAGGACTGTTGCATGGGCGCAGGTGTGAAGACCAGCCTGGGCAACACAGTGAGACCCTGCCTTTACAAAATAAAAATAAAAATTAGCTAGGTGTGGTGGTGCGCACCTGTAGTTCCAGCTACTCAAGAGGCTGAGGTGGGAGGATTGCTTGAGCCCAGGAGTTCAAGGCTGCAGTGAGCTATGATTGCTTCACTGCACTCCAGCCCGGATGACAGTGAGGCCCTCTTTCTAAAAAATAATAATAATAATAATAAAGAGATCACCATTAAAAAGCTGTGGTTGGGAAGCCTATGGCTATTTTAATTATACACCTGATAGGAAAAGTTACGTGTTCTGAAGGGCGTTTCTTTGGAGGCTGTATACAGGTTTCCCACTCAGTCTCCCCTAACACTTGGCACTGTATTTTTGTTACAAGCACAGCTGCTGTAGCAGCCCAGATGCCAGGTTCCTGCACCTGCTGTGAGGCTGACACAGAACACTGAGACACAGGTGCCAGAGATGGAGAAAGGCTTATTCCATTTGGCCCAAGCAAGAAGACAAGAGAGCAAGATTTCTCAAATCCACCTTGACAAAGAGGTGAAGAGTTTTTATGCAGCTGGTGAGTCAGGAGGGGGGTTCAGGGAATGGAGGGAAAGTCTGTGTTTCTTCCATGTCGGCTAACACCTCCGGCAGCCAGACTTCTGGTGTCAGCGCCTGGTCCCAGCACCTTCGAGGCATTTGTTCATGTGTAAATATTTTTTATGACCTGGACGTGATCTCCTCCTGCTTGACAAAGAAACAGTCGATCAGCAGTGTACAATGATGATGTGGGAACAAGAAATACTGGGCACAAAGCACGTGGTTCACCTGTGCCAGCCAGAGCAGCCCGATCAGAACGTTCATCGTTTCAGTCCTCACTGGAAAGTACTGAGTGCTGGACTCCCAGGGGCCCAGGTAGCAGCCTTGGTCACCTGACAGGAAAGGTGCTAAGGAAGGTGTCCTGAGGGGATTTCATCATTGTGTGAACATCACAGCGCGCACCTGCACAGCCCCGATGTCACAGCCCCCTGCACACCCGGGCGATGAGGTACAGCGTGTGGCTTCTGCGCTGTAACCCTGTACAGCACGTCACTGCTCTGAATCCTGCAGGCAGCTGTCACACAGTGGTAAGAATCTGTGTATCTAAGCATAGAAAATGTTCAGCAAAACACGGAATTCTATCTGATGGGACCACTGGTGTACGCCCAGTGCAGCGCTGACAGAAATGTTGCTATGCAGTGCATGACTGCATGTGAGGAATATTTTTAAATGTAATGAACATTTTCACCGAGGCCCCCAGGGATGCGCCCAGCCCCCTCCACTTCAGCGCAATGTGCTGTGGAAATCATATTTTCCAGGCACGCCCTGACATTATAAAGGCCGGGAAGCGTTGCATGGAGGCCCCATTCCCGCAGCCGGGACTGATGGGCAGAGCCAGGTGAGGGCCAGCCCTCCGTGCCCACAGGGAAGCCAATTGCTGCCTCAGGGGAGGGGAAAGGACGCAGAAACTGTCACCCAGGTCTTTTCTCCAAAAAGCCGCCAGGCTGCTTGACTCTGCCCTCTCGGAGCTCACCTCTCCTGCACGTCTTGGGGCCAGCAGGCATCCTGCAAGCACTGACTGAGCCTGGCCAAAGTCTGGCTCTGTTCCAGGAGCTGGGAACCAGGAAGGGAGCAGAGAGAGAAAACTTCTGCCACATGGAGTTTATTTTCTAGCTAGGGAAACGGACCAAAATAGATACAAATAACACAAGTAGAAAGGCCACAGGTGTGCTGGTAAACGTGTCACAGCCGCTCTGGGGGACGGCGGCCCTGACCTGCACACTTGCTGATTTCTGTGTGTGAGTCCTCCCACTCCAGCCACCTCCAGACTCCCTGTGTGAAGGTGCTGGCCATGGGGTGGGGAAGGGCGCTCGAAGCTGCTCTCGTGGGCTGCTCCAGCCGGCTTGGGCACATCTGAAGGTTCCACATGAGGCTGAGGTGGGTGGATCACCTGAAGTCAGGAGTTGGGAGACCAGCCTGGCCCAACATGGAGAAACCCCATCTCTACTAAAAACACAAAAAAATTAGCCAGGCGCGGTGGTGGACACCGGTAGTCCCAGCTACTCTGGAGGCTGAGGCAGGAGAATCATTTGAATCCAGGAGGTGAAGGTTGCAGTGAGCTGAGATGGTGCCACTGCACTCTAGCCTGGGCAACAAGAGCAAAACTCCGTTTCAAAAAAAAAATTCTATGTACATATATATATATAAAATAACTTAAAAATTTAAAAATCATACAAAGATGCACACAGCAATCTCATCATTGCCCTACTCCCACCACAGCACCCTCTCTGCATTCCCAGCGAAGTGGAGTCACAGCTCAGTGTTTGTGAATTGCTGTGTGTCCTGAGGCATGAGACAGCCTGCTGAAACATGCATCGATAACTTCCGTTTTCCACTTAACAGTGCCCAGAGATCCTTCTGGTCTGTGGGTACTTATGAGATGTCACTCTAACACTGTTTATTCCACAGCCGCTTCAGATGCCAGTATGGTTTCCAGTTTTCTGATATTAAAAACCTGGTCTTTTATTTTTACGCGTGCAGGTGTATCTACAGCATGAATTCCGCAGAGTGGGGACTGGGTTAGAGTATCGCATCTGGAGTTCGGACAGTGGGCCGCACCTGCCTGGTGATGAAGGGTGCCAATCTGCACTCAGCGCCACACAGGGGAGCACACGTTTCTAGGCAGCCTCAGCAACATGTGCACTGTTGCTAATATCATACAGAGAAAACAACATCTTGGTGTTTTAATTTACATTCTCTCGTGAGTGAAGTTGAGCATCTTTTCATTCCTAAAGGGCCGTTTTTTTTGAGACGGAGTTTTGCTCGTTACCCAGGCTAGAGTGCAATGGTGCGATCTCGGCTCACCACAACCTCCGCCTCCTGGGTTCAGGCAATTCTCCTGCCTCAGCCTCCTGAGTAGCTGGGACTACAGGCACGCGCCGCCGTGCCCAGCTAATTTTTTGTATTTTTAGTAGAGACGGGGTTTCACCATGTTGACCAGGATGGTCTCGATCTCTTGACCTCGTGATCCACCCTCCTCGGCCTCCCAAAGTGCTGGGATTACAGGCTTGAGCCACCGCGCCCGGCCCCGTTTCGTTTTCTGTAAACAATTTGACTAATCCATTCTGAGTTATTAGTTGTTTTTCCAATTTCTAGAAGTTTTTACATATTACGGAAATTAGTCCTTTGTGATACGAGTTACGAGTTCTTTTCCTAATTTGCTTTTGCTTACAGCTCTTCAAGACTCTTGTGTGTTAAGCTTTTACTTAGAGTCTTCTTTCACGGTGGCTGGATGTTAAATCCTAGGTTAAAGGCCCTTGCTTACTGCTGTGGTACTGCCTTTAATATACATGGCACTGTGCATACTTAGGTCTAGAGAACAGAGCTCTTCTGCTGGGGGCAGAGAAAGCAGCCTACTCGCCTTTTCCCACTTCACTGACCACATCTGTCTTTCTCTAAAACCCTACCACCGTATACTGGCGGCTTCCCTATCACCAAATCATCTTAATTTGGAGGCATATTTTGATGAAAGTTGTTCTTTGACAAATACTTATATCAACACAAGATCAGAGTTGCCTTGTGCCAACTGCTGGCTCTCAATGGGCTATTAAGAACCAAAGCTGCTTTAACTAGCTGGCCAGGTATTCACCCAGCAAACAGTGTCTTCTGTGTGCCGGGAGGCACAGTGCAGGCAGGTGCAGCCAGCCCTCCCAGTATTACTCCTGGGTGTTTGTGAACTCAGGAACCACGACTGACCACCATGATCACTGCTGTGTTTTGTTCTGATGACATCCTTTTACTGAGTTCTGAACGTCAACTCATCACATGAATAAAAAGGGGGCTTTAGTTGAGTGACCTATTCCTTCTTGCTCCAGAACTCCTGGAATATTACACTTAGGAAAAAGACCAAAATCAACACCAAGGTCCTCCTTTTCAGACACACGATCTGGGGCCCAGACTTGCTCAACCTGAAATCACATCACCTGACTCAGGAATGCAGCATTCACTGCTTCCTACTTAGTTACCCAAGCTGATCACTGGCCAGGAGGGCTTGTTCCTTCTCAGTTTGAGCTCCGACCTCATGCACTTTCGTGCCTGTCGTACAAGACAGCAGAGGTGCTTTCTTCAGGCTTCAGCAATGGCCCGACACCGGGAGGGGAGTGCTGCACGGAGAACACTTCTTCCACAGCCTGTTTGTGCGGCATGAACGCCCTATTCTGGAAGCAGTGCTCCTATATTCCACAATATACAGCACAATCTGATAGGTAACAGTCACTCAAGTATTTTCTGAACAGGAGCTGATGAAGACGGAATTATGTATCATTGTAAATTTCTAAAGATATAAAAAATGCAGCTGATATTTTGATTCTCAGTAATGTATTTCCTTTTAATAGAAAGAAAACTGAGGACATGGACCCTAACACTTCATGACTCCTCCTTAACCGGGTGCGGCTGGATCGTGTTCCTCCAGCTTCACATGCGTTCTGCGGCACTGACACCGCCGCTATTTGTGAAAATCCCACAGACTGTCAAGATTTGAGAGGCACAACTTTTCATCTCCGTATTTCCAATTCTGGTGTAATTTTTCCTGTTTTTAAATCAGATTCTCAAATGGCAGGGGCAGCAGTAGGAGCATACTTTGGATCTTCTCAAATCTTCACCTAAAAACAGAACTACTAAACAGCAAAACCAAAAACTCACGGACATTTGTAACAGAATGAGGTGACAGTGTTGCTGAAGATGTGGAGTGACCTGGAACTTTCCTGCCAGGCTGGAGGGAATGGAAAATGTAAAGCTCACACTTGGAAAAGTTTCCATTTCTTAAGAAGCACACACCTGTCATGTGACCCAGGCATTCCGCTCCAAGGCATTTACCCCAGAGAAACAGAAGACAAAGAAGAGGACATAAATGCTCCCGGCAGCTTTACTTGCTTTAACTGTATTTAGTCAGAAGCGGAAAACAATCGAAATGTATCAGTCAACAGGCAAATAAACAAACTGTGGTACAGCCATACAATACACAATGTGGACTGCGGATACACACGGTGAATGCTGAAACAATTATGCTGAGCAAAGGAAGCACCTCCCACCATAGTGCTTGTTCTATGATTCCACTCACATATCATTCTAGAAAATAGAAATTAATCTTTAGCAAGAGCGAGCAGACCAGTGGTTGCCTAAGGATGGGGGAGATGGAGGGACGGTTTACAAAGGCTATGAAAATACTGTTGGTGGTGATGGCCGTGTTCTGCTGATAGCTTCATGGGAACATGCACTGGTCACTTTACATATGTGCAATTTATTATCTGTCATTACACCTCAATAGAGCTGTTTTAAAAAGCAAGATGGGGCTGGGTTTTGTGACTCACACCTGTAATCCAAAAACTTTGGGAGGCTAAGAGAGGAGGATCCCTTGAGGCCACGAGTTTAAGACCAGCTTGGGCAACAGAGAGAGACGCTGTTTCTATTTCAAGTAACAAAAGTGGTGCGATAACATTTACAACTCAAAGAACCAGAGAAAGTGGCAAAAGAGATTCCAGAGGCAGTGGCAAACACTGAAAACAGGCAACTTAGATTTCAAAACAGAGATAACAGGGATCACCAAAGAAAAAAAAATTGGCAAGAAAAATATAACACTAAACTACAGTCCAAGCAATCTTAAAATAACAGCTCTGAAAGTACGCGTAGAAAGTGCACACCATTCACCTGCAAATACGGACCAGGACAACCAACACCCGCACAGGATACTTTCTAGTACCACTGCTGACTTGAGAGAAAAAGCATCTAAGCAACAACAGCATAGGACTTGTCAGGGGAAGCAAGTAAGATTCATCAGGCTTTCCATGCATCACTGAATGCTGGAAGAAACAGAATAAAACAATTCAGATTCTCAAAGAAAATCTGAGCCAAGAGTTTCATCTCCCGCAAAACTGAATTCAACACCATAGACTCACTGACTATAGACGGGTTATGACAACTGAACACACAGAAATAGAGTCCATGGCGGTAAAAGGGAGCAATTTTTCTGACAATGTAGACACAGTGCTGTTCTCATAATCGCAACTAGTGCTACGGTATTATTTTAAAAACACTAAATGTTAACGTGGAATAAAACAAGTGAGTGAGTATGGGATATTCCACGCCATCATCCTGTCTTCTGAGTGTGGGAGACACAGACACCTTACAGAAGAGGCTATGCATGGGCCCCAGAACCCTGAATTTGTGTTGGGAATATCAATACAGGTTCAGAAAATATTTTTTTCTTTAAATGCGTGTGTGTAATGTTTGTATTTTTTTAAGGTTCTGTCCAATAAAAAGTCTGGAAACAATGACCAAACCTATAGCAATGAGCCTCCAAGACTGTGGATCTGAATTACCATCTCCACCAGAGACGCCTAAAAAAATAATGGATTCCCAGTGTTAAACAGAATTGTTTGGCCTAAAACTGCCTCCGTACACAGTGACTCTGACTTAGGACCTCACTGAACGTGTAACAGACCGCGCCCTGATGTGAGAGCATACTCCTGTAACAAGCAGCAGTCTCGCCGCTCACAGGCCGAAAGGCTGCAGAACACGGTGACGTGAAGCAGAGGCGGCACGGCAGTGAGTGTCTTTCCCTTCCTCCAGCTGTAACTGCAGCCTGCACATGAGGCGCGAGGGAGCGTTCTGAACCGCTTTTGGTCCTGAGTGCTAGCTACCTGGCTGAAGCAACTATGTTCTGCTCAATTAAACTGTGAACTTGTCTAAGGTTTTTTCTTTTAAGAAAACTTTGGGGCAGAAGCTGTACAAGACGGGCCTAGAGCACCTGGACATGCCAGACTGCAGGCGCTATCACTGACTGCGCAGGTGGTCTGTGTGTCCATGAATGCGCATGCACGCATGCTTATCAAAACTCAAGAGCCCAGCTGAAGAGGCTCCCTCTCACTGACCAACGAAGCGAGTCCAACTTAAACAAAGATAAATATCACAATGGATTGAAATCCATCAAATATGCTTAACTCCACAAATTCTGTTTTTTTAAAGACAAGGATTTGCTGTCACCCAGGCTGGAGTGCAGTGACATTGTCACAGTGAGCTGTGACAATGCCACATCCTCAACCTCCTGGGCTCAAGCGAGCCTCACATCTCAGCCTCCAGAGTAGCTGGGACAACAGGCAGGCACCACCACAGCCACCTACTTTTACGTTAATTTTCTGTAGAGACAGGGTATCGCTATGTTACCCAGGCTAATCTCAAACTCCTGGGATCAAGTGATCCTCCTGCCTCAGCCTCCCAAAGTGCTGGGATTACAGGCATAAGCCACCATGCCCAGTCCATGAATTCTTAATATATATAAGTAAAAAACCTTAACAGCTCACCTTCTAAGGATGACAGAGAACTAACGCATTACCTTAAAAACTTACTGTGCAAGAGCAAAGAATCCAGCATTTATCCTGCCCTTCCTATATGAACTGTACCACTGGGTAACCAAATAGTACACAAAAGAAACACTTTCCTAGAACACCATTCCAGCGAACAAAGGCAAGCAAAAAGACAGAATATTACCATTTTGCAACCCCAAATAATAAACAGATCTTGGCTCTGAGCATCAGCTGCTGTCAACATGGACAAGGACTCCCGAGGAGAGCCCCCAACTGCCTAATCTCCTGCCAAAGGGCTCAAATCTGAGGCTCACAAAGCCTCTAGACCCAGCTGCCAATCCGCAGGACACAGAGGACAGAAGATCATGCTGAACTGCATCATGACCACGCGGTCAGCAAAATCTATGCTGTGGGAAGTGATGGGACAAATGGCCCAGGCTCTTCAACAGATAATGGCAGGGAGAACAGCGAGGCAGATAGGACTGCAAATGGAGACTGATCAAGTAAAAAAAGAAAGCGGACAAGACTAAACTGCCATCAAGAAACCAAGAAAGTCACTCTGTCAATGTCAGGAAGGAAGCAGGCAAGGAGCTGGAGAAGGGGGCTGAGGCTGGAGGGGCACTTGGAGAGCCTTCTGGGGTATCCGGCAAAGTACTACTTCTTCCCTGGGTGGTGGACACAAAGGTATTCAATCATTACATTCAATAAGCTATGTATCTGTTTTGTGTCATTTCCTGTATGTTTTTACTTTATGATAAAAAGGTTTAAAACTAAATAATCATGTCAAACTTTTATCTATTTTTGAGAGAGTCTCATTCTGTTGCCCAGGCTGGAGTGCAGTGGCACATGATCTCTGCTCACTGCAACCTCTGCCTCCCAGGTTCAAGTGATTCTTGTGCCTCAGCCTCCCGAGTAGCTAGGACTACATGTGTCACGTGTCACCACACCCAGATAACTTTTATATTTTTAGTAGAGACAGGGTTTTGCCATGTTGGCCAAGAAGGTCTTGAACTCCTGACCTCAGGTGATCTGCCCGCCGTGGCCTCCCACGGTGCTGGGATTATAGATGTGAGCCACCATGCCCGGCCAGGGTCAAACATTTTTTTTTTTAATTTGCACAGTTTTTAACAGAAGAACCAAATACATTTTTGAAAGACTTATTTACACATCTTGGTCTTTACAAGTTGTAACTGTTCCTAGAGAATGGCCTAGCAGCCGAGGTTGCCTGCAGGCAGGCGAGCAGGCACGTGTGGCTGAGACCCAGGGCACATCCTGCCCGCTGAGCTGCCCGCCCAGGCCACAGGCTGCACGTTTCTCTAATGTACCCACAGGCACAAGTCACCATACAAGCAGGAGACTCACTCCTATAAACTGGACGGTAAATGGATGCTTCAGAATACTCCCAGACTTCTGAGTTGCATCTTTTAACCAATGTTTTTTAGATTTCTCATCAAAATATAAGCTGCAGCATTTTAGGCCATTTGCTTTGCTTGCCTGCAATAAAACAAGCAAGAACGTATGGAACCCAGTAAGCATAATGCTGAAATCTCACATAACTCTCCAATCTCAAAGATGTTCAATTTATTATATACTTGGCGAGTTTTTATAAAACTGGGTCCCAGAATGCCACTGCGCCTCCCTGATTCCGTGTGAAAGCTGCATCAGCCCATCCACTGCAACGGTCCCACCTGCAGGCTCTTTTCCACACCAGTAAGTACAAGCATCAGAACAGCCACTGGCTCAAGTTTTCCCAAGGACTCACGTCACATGGGTCAGTCTTCCGATTGTTTAGCTCCTTCTCTGGCTAATCTATCAGCTTCTTCATTGCCCATAAACCCCGAATGACCAGGAACGTGCATCTGTTAAAATAAATGTTTTCCTTTTATTTCTACTCATCTTTACATAAGCAACACACGACTATGTTCTCATTATAAAAGCTCAACCATTCAGAACAGACTGAGTAGCAGAAGCTCAGCTCCAGCGCTCCTCCCCAAACATGATCCTGAACAGCACTGGAGATTCTTCGTGCACTTATGCAATGGATGTATTTACAAACATTCCATTTTGTTTTCCCACAAATACTGTTCATAATGTTATTTCCTCCCCCACGTATTAATTGTACTTGATAAGCTTTCCAGGGAAAACACAGGTATGTACAGATGGGTGGACAGATATGTAAGCAACACACACACACACACACACACACACACACACACACGCTCCCTTGCAGCGCCGTCAGAATCATGTACGTATGGAACTACTGTCTACACTTATGTTGCCAGAGCAAATTTACATGCCAGGCCACCTAACTGTTATCAGTGCTTCTGGGAAGGCAGAACAAGGCAGGGTTGAACCAATGGTTGTAGTTTAATTTGTTCTGTACTGCTTTAAAAAAAACTTTTTTAATAAAAATGATTGTTTAAAAAAATGCTTCCATCTTGGAGTAAAAGTTCTGTTACCAAGGCTTTCATCACACGTCCTTACTAGTGTTTTAAACAAGATACACTGGAAGTTAGTTTTAACATACGATACATTCCAAAGAAATGAAGGGGGGGACATACAGCTGTCATAGTAATGCCCTGTGCTCGGGTTGGGCATTACTTTGTGCTCTTAAAATATAAGGATTGTAGAACACCCCTCAAACCACACTGCCTGTGTATGTGCCTAGTGATACTCTCATTAAAACTGCATTACTTGTAGTGGCTCATGTCTGTAATCTCAAAGCACCTTGAGAGGCCAAGGCAGGTGGATTGTTTGACATCAAGAGTTCGAGACCAGCCTGGGTAACACGACAAAACCCCATCTTTACTAAAAACACAAAAATTAGCCAGGTGTGGTGGCCTGTAAACCCAGATACTTGGGAGGCTGAGGCACAAGAACCCCTGGCACCCAGAAGGCAGAGGTTGCAGTGAGATCACGCCACCGCCTGGAGTGACAGAGTAAGACTCTGTTTCAAAATCCAAACCAAACCAAACCAAACCAAACCAAAAAACTGTATTACCCATATGGTGATTAAAAGAATCAAATGTGTGTCTGTGGGTAGGTTTGGTTTTTTTTTTTTTTGAGACAGGGCCTCGCTGTTGCCCAAACTAGAGTGCAGTGGGACAATGCTGGCTCACTGCAACCTCGACCTCCCCAGCTCAAGTCATCCTCCCACCTCAGCCTTCTGAGTAGCTAGACTACAGGCATGCACCATTATGCCTGGCTAATTTTTTTATTTTTTCTAGAAACAGAGTCTCACCATGTTACCCAGGCTGGTCTCGAACTTCTGGGCTTAAGTAGCCAGCCTGCTTGGGCCTCCTAAAGTGCTAGATTATGAAGTGACCACTGTGTCCAGCCTCAGATACGTGTTAGCATACATTACGATGTTGATTTCATGGAAGTTGTTACGTCTTTAAACCACTTACATATACCATTAATCTCTAGTAAATTTAGCTTGTCTGGTCATAACTGCAGTAAGACATTAACATTGAGAAGATACTCACCCACTGGATGTCCATGCCCTGGGTGAGCCTCTCCAGTGCCACAAAGTCCTCTTTGTTGATCACCTCTTTCCCTGTACTTGTCTTCCACCCATTTTTCTTCCAACCTTGAACCCAGTTAGTTATGCCTACAAGAATGCCTGATCACTGGTGAGTCAATCTGGAACATCCTGCCTTCTTCAGTTCCCTAGTCTGACCTCTTATAATCGATCCCACTTGTGCTCTGAGTCACCATCCTTGACTCTTATACTTCCTTAGCTGGCCTTAGTTGCTTTGGCCTTTGGCACAGCCTGAAATACCGCCCTCCCTTCCCTTTCCCCGAACTTGTATTCTACGTATAGCTGTCAGCTTAAGATGGCACTTCTCCCAGAAAGCCCTCCCCAGCCTCATAAGCATCCCCTACAGGGCATTTCCCAAAGAAGTGGTCAACACGCCATCTGAAGTGACTTATGCACACACGGACTAGAAGTATACACATCGGAGTAGCAGAAGAGACACTCCGAAATCCCCACTCTGCTTGGTACCTGACAAGCCAGTGGCATCCCCTGTTTGCATTTCGGTCTTGCCCTGCCACAATACCTCCTATCAATTCCCCTTCATGGTTACTGGAAAAACAGAAGAAATCAACTGTGAAAACTTACCATTTATGGTAAACATGCTGTCTGTATACACAACCAGTTTACTGATGTTTTGAGCCTTTGCTTGTTCAATGGCTTTGCAGGCTGCCTTGAAAAGACAAGTCAAGTCATTCCACAGAAAATGTTCAACTTTGACATTACTGATGCTCAGTCCTCAAAACTGAAGCATCCCTTCTGTACTGTGACGATTACACTCTCTGCATGAAGCACTACTATTACAATCCTCCTGCAGAGACACCTATCTGAAGCAAGTTTTTAGAAGTTTTCTACAAAATTCCTATTTTTCAGAATTGTTATTAAACCCAAGCCTCTTCTTCAAATATCTTATATATAGGTAGGAAAAAAAATTAGCTGATTTATCTGATATGCTCACACTCAATGCTCAATAATGAGAGGCTTCAATACATCTGATAACTTACATGAATTTCTGCTCTTTGGTTTGTCTGTCGCCCGGGAAGTCTAATGCCTACATTTCTGTTTCAAAACAGTACAAAAGAAAGTAAAATTACAAAGTGAATTCTCAAAGTGAGTCTTCTTAATGGATAACAATAAACTAGTGTGTATTTTTATTTGAAATATAAAAGCATCAAATGAAAGTCAAACTAACAGAGAGGCTGCCAGAAGCAGAGAGGATAAAGGTTTACACACTCAGGCACCTGCTGACTCTCGGGTCCCACCAGGGCAGAGGAAGTAAGAGCTAGTTCTCTGTGGACCCTGAGTTAGGACCTGTGGCTCCAGCAAAAAAGAATCCCAGGAGAAAACTCAGGAATAAGAATGGAAGGAGTGAGACCTCAGACTGAAAGTATGAAAAACTTCCAGGAAACAAGGGAGGAAAATGAAATCAAGAAACCAGAAAAACCCTCAGATAAGTTGTTTAAAATTTGGGGTCACCAGGAGATCCAGAGTTTTCTAAAAAAAAAAAAATCAGCAATTTTTGGACCAGGCATGGTGGCTCTCACCTGTAATCCCAGCACTTTGGGAGGACAAGGTGGGAGGATCGCATGAGCCCAGAAATTTGAGACCAGCCTGACCCACATAGTGAGACCTCATCTCTACTTTAAAAAAAAAAAAAAAAAAAAAAAAAAAAAAGAGAGACTCCTCCACAGGGCAAGAGAGCAACACCGAAGCCAGGTGCGGTGGGTCACATGTATAATCCCAGAGCTTTTTTCAAGGCAGGAGGATCACTTGAGCCCAGGTCAATGATGCAGTGAGCTGTTTCTGGCACTGGGCTCCAGCCTGGGCAACAGAGTGACACTGTCTAAAAACAAAACAAAGCCAAGTAGAGCTGAGGCACCAACATTCTGAAAAGCAGTGCTGCTCGGCACCAACACAGTCCAAGCTGTTCCTCTGCTACCCCCCCACCAAAGCTACTTATCTGCAGGTTTTCCCAACAGTCAACCAATAAGCAGGTCCGCCTCATCTCACGAGTTGCGGAGCATGATTCGGGAAAGTTCAGCTCCCTTTGATTACTTACAAAGGATGGCCCGGCCCCCAGTAAACGCCGATTCCTGCTCGTGGCCTCCTCCGCCCATTACTGCAGCAGCAGCCATCCGTGTAGACGACAACTGAGTCTCCTGTGGGAAGAGAGAAGTAAACGCTACTGGGCTGACCTTACATGTTCTGTCTAAAAAAACATGCTCAATTCCTTACAAGGGGGCACCCAGCATTTATGCTCGGAATCCACTTACATTTTGGTCTTCCAGGACAGGCAAGTTCAGGGTAAAGGCAGTTACTTTGTAAACTAGAGCCCACTGCAGTAAGGACTACTGTTCACACCCCACACTGAGGGTTCAAATGACAATGACTGTCTCCACAGCAGGGCTACTTTCACTCCCAAGGAGCCGTCCTTCCAGAGACAAGCAGAGCCTCAGCATGGCGGTGAGCCTGCCTGCCAGAGGACCCAGTCTCCTGACCCGTGCTGGTCCCATCTCTTCCGTGGCATATTCGCTACTAGTTTAGTGTAGTTCCCATCTGTTTCTTTCCCTCTAGACAGACGGTGTGATTGACATACCAAGGCTGTAAATGGAAAAGGACTGACGGGGCCACTCTCAGGCCCCTGGTGACCAGGACACTTCAGCAGCGTGGTGGGAACACAGGTCAGGTTGTAAAGTGTTAAAAGAGCTGGGCGAGAGGGCAGACAGAGGTCAGACGCGCAGGAAGTGGAAGTGTTTGTCCTAAGAACGGCAGACTGAGCACAGCGGCAGCAAAGGGGCAGAGACGAGGACGTGCTCCTCATGGGAGTGGGTCAGAGGGCCGAGTGGAGTGTGGGTGTCAGGCAAGGCACCTTAGTTCAGCTGGAACATGACTGTATCAGCACGACTACAAACCTTCCGCCCAGCCACTGAGCTGCTGGAGCCAGCACTGCCATCTGCCATGTTCCAGGCCACCGAGCCTCAAGCATGGCCAGTGGCTGGAAACAGCTCCTTTCCCTGCTACTCCACAAATCTCTGCTTTAATTCCTTCTAGTAAATCACCAAATAAAGAATACTTGTGTGATCTTTTTTTAGATAACTGCAAAACTTATCTATAGATAATACAGCTTGGCACATTTTCTACTGGTTTCTCTTGAATTAAATCAGAACCTACAAATATACTGATTTATATTTTTAAATGCTACTTTTTTTCTGTTTTTTTTGCACATATCTGTAAAAGACACAAAGGAGACTTAAGCTCACTACTACCCGGCTTCTCAGGATAAAACAGAATCTCCTGTTTTCCAAAGATTGCAAATGAAAGCTTAAAGTGCTGGTGCTAATCGATTATAATAAGCAGCTGTATGTGGGTGTTTCTTATTTGAAAAAGCTGGAGCCTTTGTGCTTTATCTTGGTAACATTAAGCACCGCATGCATAGGGAATATATTGGTATTTCAAAAGATTACAGTTACTCATTTATACATAAGGGTTTTCCTAAGAACAGCCAAAAATTTAAATCTGCATCACTTGATCAATTATAAAGTAATGACCTTAGAGATTTCTAAATAATCTTTACACATAACAATGAAGATGAAAAACATCAGCTCAAACTTCCCCCATTAAGTGGAAAACATGTTTTACACATATATTTTCATGATGTAACAGGGAAAGCCAAGGAAGATGTACCCATGTAGGAAAACAGGTCTCTGCTAACTGGAGGCGCCGGCTCCACACTGGGCTTCAAGTGCTTTGCATATGGCTCTGCACCTTCATCTCCATCTCCATCCAGTGGCTCACGGAGTCTCTTGCTGGCTTTCATCTGTGATTCTTGTCCATGTTGATTTTCCTGCCCTGAAAGAGTCCACTTGTGAGCTGGAAACAATGAGCGTAACACGAAATGCTAGAGGATGAAGAAATCCAGTACGTTATTTAGCACCATTAAATCAGACTTAAACACCCTCTGCATGTGGCCCTATACCAAGGGAATGACTCCACCCACACCATCTCAGACTTCCATTCTCTGAGAAATCATTCCGGATTTTCCAAGATAAGTTTGATAAAGACAATGTGAGGACGATAGCAAGGCTCCTGTTGAAAATAAAACCTGGTTTTGATGGAGATAATACCGAGGGTTCCTGACCCTTTAGGGATCATGAACAGTTTGAAAATCCGAAGGGCTCTTCCTCCAGGAAAAACATGGACCAAAACTGTGTATATAACATCAGTGGTTGTATCTCCAGCTCAGGTCTGGACACAACCTGCCTCTCTCTGAATTGTGCTTTGTCCAGGATTGTTATGATGACTCAAAGGAGCAGCTGTTGAGTGTTCAAGCATCTCAGTTGCCTCTAGAGACTGTTCAACATAAGATAATTAAAACTACGCTCTGCTCAGTTTTACTTTGCTGTAGTAAAAGTCTGTAAGTAACATTCATGTAAGATCACTTCAGGGTGGATTCAGAAATATTTTTAAAATCTTGTGCTCTAAAGTCATCACCCTGCTCATCAGAGTCTGCATATGGCACTTTCAACTTCCATTTATATTGGGCATTAATCTTATACTGAGCTTTAAACTTCCAACAACCATACTTTCTATAACACATAAAATTGGAAGAAATTGGCCAGGCATGGTGGCTCACGCCTGTAATCCCAGCACTTTGGAGGCCGAGGCAGGTGGATCACTTGAGCTCAGGAGTTCAAGACCAGCCTGGCCAATATGGTGAAATCCCATCTCTAATAAAAAATACAAAAATTAGCCAGGCGTGGTGGCACGCACCTGTAATCCCAACTACTCGGGAAGCTGAGGCAGAAGAATCACTTGAACCCAGGAGGCAGAGATTGCACCACTGCACTCCAGCCTGGGCAACAGAGCAAGACTCTGTCTCCAAAAAAAAAAAAGGAAAAAATTAAGATTGTCTAACTCTGTCCTCTGTAGAAAGGAAACACCACAAAGGTGCATGCCAGGAAAAGAACCACATTCATTCCTGTAAAATTATAATCCAACCAGTCCAATAACTATGCAAGTATTTTTTTTTTTTTTTTGAGTCGTCTTGTCCTGACACCCAGACTGGAGTACAATGGTGCAATCTCGGCTCACTGTAGCCTCTACCTCCCAGTCTCAAGCAATTCTACCTCAGCCTCTTGAGTAGCTGTGATCACAGGTGCACGCCACCATGGCTGGCTAATTTTTGTATTTTAGTAGAGATGGAGTCTCATTATGTTGGCCAGGCTGAACAAATATTTTTTGAAAAGACAAGGAATGACGGCACAAAAAACTGAATGGAACAGGAGATCTGAGTCCTGACTTGTCCCTAATACTGTAAGTAACATGAACCACTATTTTTAACTGTTCTCAGCCTGTTCCCTAATTTGCAAAATGAAAACAATCACACTATCTTCTCTATGTGCCTGGAGGGTAGCTATATAGATCAAATGCCATCTGGCATATACAAGCCTTCGAATAGGTTAGAACGTCACACTGAAGGACACGAGAGGGGACTACCTTCTGAAGCTTCTGGGCTTGCAGATTTCCTGACAAAGGCCCAGGCCTCATCCTCTGTGGCAAACTTCTTAAATCTGGCAGCAGGAAACCGGTCCACCTGAGCCTTGCACTCATTCCTGGAAAAGATGCACAATATTATTGCCTTCTTCCTCCCTAACTTATCCCCTTTGTAATTAAGATTTGTAAAGTTGGAAGTACAGTTGTCCCTTGGTATCAGAGGGGGACTGATTCCAGGAAGGTCCTCCATCCCCATCAGATACCTACATCAGAGGATGCTTAGGTCCTTTGTATTAAATGATGTATTTGCACAGAACCTATGCAAATCTCCTTGTATGCTTTAAATCACCTCTAGCTTATAACACCTAATACAGTTGTTGTATTGTCTTCTCATGCATATTTAAAAACTACTCTATTTTTATTTTTTCCAAATATTTTTGATCTATGGTTGGCTGAAACTGAGGATACAAACTGGATATGGAGGACCAATTTTGGTGTGAAAAGGGCAAAGGGTCACACCTTACAGTTCATAGTTTTATCTTGCGCATCAGACTCTATACGTGTGTTCTTCTGTATGCCAGCCAGCCAGCCAGCACACCAGCGCCACCGGCTTTTGTCAAACTCAAAGCATAATATAATACTGGGGTCTTAGAAAAAAAATTATTAACCATTTCACTACAGCAAAAAGGTCAACTTCTGAGATGCTTCTTCCTCACTACTCTAGCTGGCGGGCATAGGGATACAATCATAAGGAACTTTGATATCTTGTAGGGGAAAGGGTTCTGGTGGCAAAGACGGAACACCTGGGCTCAGGCCCTTCCTCTGTCAGTTACTCAGCCTGTGAACTTCCTGACCACAGTACACCTGAAAATGAGAATAATCCCACTCACCTCCAAGTGTCGTTACAAGGATCCACTGCAAACACTAGCTTATATAGAATTTCTCTTTTTAAAACCGGAACGTTAGGTTAGGTACTGAGTTCCAGTCCCAATTTAGCTGGTACGGAAACTCTTCTGGAAATGTAGCTTGGTTCTGATAACGTGTCCCTTTTTGTTGCACTTTAACTGCAACAAAGATGAAGGATCAAACACAGGGTTTATTAGGCCACCCCTAAGCTTTATGTGGCGTTTCTGATATTCCAAACGAGGATTTAACGCGGTCCAGCCCCTGGCCATGAGCCTCCTGGAACCCCGTCGGCTGAGGAGGAAGGCGAGGCGTCCCCCCAGACCACCCACAGGCACCGTGCACGGCACAGGCTCGGACGACCACGCTCCCGCCGCGGGGGTTCGCTGAGCCCCGGCCTCCCTCCGCCCTGGTGCCGGCAGGGAGGCGCCTCGGCGGGCGGGCCACTCACCAGGTCAGAAAGACCCCGGTCTTGCGGCCCCTCCTCACGGCATAGAACATCCCGAACCCACGAGAGGCGGGGCGACAGCGCACGGCGGCCAAGGCGACTCTGTGGGCCAGAAACAGAAGCCGGCTCATCGCTCACTCCCGTCACCGGGAAGCATTGCGGCTCCCGGCTCAGCGCGGGCACGACCCGGCGCGCTCACCACCGCACTTCCGTCAGCGTCCCGGGAAGATGACGCACAACTGGGCGGAGTCAGGGCGGGGCCTACGGAGGGGCGGGGTCGCAGAGCGGACCAGGCGACTGACCCGCCGGACCTCGTCAGCTTCCGGTCGGTCTTGGAGGAAGCTGAGCCAGGGCTGAGGTCCCGAAGGCGAGCGAGGTCTGGGATGGGACTGAGCCTATAGGAGCCGGGCCTGAGGCGCACTTGGCCGGGCTGAAGCCCGGGGCCCCGCAGAGGAGGGTCGCGATGGAAGCTGTGGGGCCCCTTCTCTCCCCTCCCCGAGGCCGCAGTTCGGGGGCCACGCCCCGGCGCGGTGGCGTCACCGAGGGAAGCCCTTCAATCCCCGGGCGCCCAGCACCCACGTGCGGTGACCGCGGGTCCTCGAGGGCTCCGAGAATGCGGATCTACTCTCAGGGCTGGGGCCAAAAGAACGAACGCACATTTTGTAGTGGGCAGAAGGATGTAAGGAATCATGAATTAGAATAAGCACAAAGGAGGGCCAGAGGGCAGGCCGCGCCCACACCCCCGAAGGGGCGCGTCCCCCTCCCTGCTCCGCTGCACGTGGGTGTTTAACCAGGGGATGTCCAGTGCCTCAAGGATTACCACCTGGGAGAAAACGGAATTGAGAAGGCAACTATGGCCGGGCCCGGTGGCTCACGGCAAGATGCGTGGATTACCTGAGGTTAGGAGTTCGAGACCAGACTGGCCAACATGGCGAAACCCCCGTCTACTAGAAATACAAAAATTAGCCGGGTGCAGTGGTGGGTGACTGTAATTCCCACAATCCCTGTCACAGGGGATTGGTGTACAGATCATTTCATCTCCCAGGAATAAGCCTAGTACCTGATAGGTATTTTCTCTGATCCTCTCCTCCCCCCATCCTCCACCCTCAGGTAGGCCCCAGTGCCCTCTGTTCCCCTCCTGATACCCCTGCATTCTTACTTTGGAACTCACATGTGTGACAGAACACGTGGCTTTCGGTTTTCTGTTTCTGCCTTAGTTTGCTTAGGAAAATAGCCTCCAGCTGTATCCATGGTGCTGCAAAGGACATGCTCTCGTTCCTTTGTATGGCTTCATAGTATTCCATGATATATATACCACATTTGCTTTATCCTAGTCTACTGTGGATGGGCATTGATGTTGATTCCATGTCTTTGCTATTGTGAGTAGTGCCGTGGTGAACATACACAAGCATGTGTCTTTATGGTAGAATGATTTCTATTCCTCTGGGTATATACCCTGTAATGGCATTGCTGGGTTGAATGGTAATTCTGTTTTAAGTTCTTTGTGGAGGCGGGGCGTGGTGACTCACACCTGTAATCCTAGCACCTTGGGAGGCCAAGGTGGGTGGGTTATGAGGTCAGGAGTTCAAGACCAGCCTGACTAATATGGTGAAACCTTGTCTCTACTAAAAATATGAAAAATAGCCCAGTGAGGTGGTGTGCGGCTGTAGTCCCAGCTACTTGGGAGGCTGAGGCAGGAGAATAGCTTGAGCCCAGGAGGCAGAGGTTACAGTGAGCCAAGATCATGCCACTGCACTCCAGCCTGGGCAACAGAGAGACTCCATCCAAAAAAAAAAAAAAAGTTATTTGCGGAATCACTATGCTGTTTCTGCAATGTCTGAACTAATTTCCACTCCCAATATTACATTATCTATAGCTGAGAAAGCTGAAATGTAGAGATTAAGTCACTTGCCCTGAGACGTAGACAGGAAATGGTATAGCCAGGACTCAAACCTGCCTCCAGAGCCCATTCTCCTAAACCTCAGTCATGATTTTCAAAGTGTGGTCCTTGGACCAGCAGCAAAAGCACCACCTGGCTGCTCGTTAGACTTGGAAACTCTGGGCCTCACCCTGGGCCTCAGCATGGGAGCCCTGGGGTGGAGCCTGGTGGTTTGTGTTTGGGCAGCTGCAGCTGACTCTGACTCCTCCATCAGGATGGAGGCCACTGTGCGTGACGGTCCCCACCCTGTGACAGCCGGCCTCCTTCCTTCATTGTTATTCCATCTCCTTACAACAACCCTATGAGGCCGGCAGGGCAGAGGTCGATTTTATTTAACTGATGAAGAAACTGGGTCTTGAGGTTTTATGACTTACCCAAAGTCATCACATTAGTTTTGGAACTGAAACTTCACTGGCAGATCTGGTTCTAGTCTGAGGCTGTAACTAGCACCAACAAGGACTCTGAGAGCAGTAAGGTCAGAGCAGGGGCTAGTGCTTCATTTGACTGCCTTTAGTGAAGGAGGAGAGGGAGGCCCAGAGTGCGGCTTCTCCTCCATGGGGTCTGAGCCACGTTAGGGGGGCACTTACTCTGATGTGCTGATGAGATTCTGTCTTATCTCCTGCAAGCCATTTGTGCTGTACTAGGATTCCGCAGTACAGTTTGGAACCCTAACTGCCCACACCCTGAGAGCCAGTCATGCAAACCCCGTAGGAAATCTCAGGGCAGAAGTGGTTTGCCGTAAGTGTCCCATTTCCTGATTTTTTGTTGGGGTGACCGAGTCTTGCTCTGTCGCCGAGGCAGGAGTGTATTGGTGCAATCGTGTGCCCCGCAGCCTCAACCTCCCGGGCTCAAGTCATCTTCCCACATCAGCCTCCAAAACAGCTGGCATTACAGGTGGGCACCTCCTGTATAATTAAAAAAAAAATGTTTCGAGGTTACAGGGATCTGTGATAGCACCACTGCATTCCAGTCTAGACAACAGAGCAAGACACTGTCTCTTAAATCAAGGAAAACAATTCTTCGTAGAGACAAGGTTTCACTCTGTTGCTCAGTTTGGTCTCAAACTTCTGGCCTCAAGCAATCCTCCTGTGTGTGCCTCTCAAAGGACTGGGATTACAGGCGGGAGCCACTGTGCTCAGCCTCCATTTTCTGATGCAGCCTGGTCACATTCCATTCATTATCCAGCAATCCCCACACCTTCACCTCCTGCCCTGATGCCTAAGGATGGGGAGTGGGAACTTCACTCTGGTGCAGGCTGTGTGGGGTCACCTTACCCATAGAGAACCTGGAAAGAGTGGTCAAGCCCTACTGAGTGTCAGAGTGCTTTGTTATTATAACTAAGCACTGGGAATTCTAAACACTGTCAGGGAGAAATACTCTTCCCAGAAAAAAAAAAAAAAAACCTCTCTTGTTGGTGTAAGTCTAAGCAAATAGTTGTGGTTACTGCTGGGTTTTAATTATATGTCTACAATTCCATTTTAATTCCTAATATTGTAATGAACTTTTCTTTCATGGGAGTTAATCCCAAGGGCTCCCATCCCTGCACCTGGTTCCAACACATGTTTGGTCAGCCACAGGAAATTTATTTGGTTCAGAAGCAAAATGCTAGCTTCAGGCACAGTTTGATCCAGCTGGCGGGCACTGTGACCTCCTGCATGTAAACAGCAGGTTTGAAGCAAACCGTGGTAGCACTCTGACTCTAAAGACGAACAAGGAGAACTTGCTTTACTTCACTTCATTGTATGTGGTCACCTGTATTTAAAACGTGAATCTGTGAAGCAGGGCAGTTGGGGATGCAAAGTGAAATATTTTTGTTATAGTGCAGATTTTAGCTCATGTATTACATATTTTACTGAATTTGAATAATGTCTTTAAAATCAAAATATATATTTTTTGGCCAGGTACATTGGCTCAATCTTTGGGAGGTCAATGCAGGAGGATTGCTTGAGGCCAGGAGCTTGAGACCTGGCCAACACAGTGAGACCCAGAGCCTGGGCAACACAGTGAGACCCTGTCTCTACAAAAAAATTTAAAAATTAGCCAAGTGTGCCTGTGGTCCTAACCTCTTGGGAGGCTGAGGTGGGAGGATCTCTTAAGCCTGGGAGGCTGAGGCTTCAGTAAGCTGTGGTTGAGCTACTGCACTCCAGCCTGGGCAACAGAGTGAGACCTTGTCTCAAGAAAAAAAAAAAAAAAAGGAAATGTATTACTTTTTAAAAGTGTAATTTTTTTTTTTTTTTTTTTTTTTTGAGATGGAGTTTTGCTGTTGCCCAGGCTGGAGTGCAATGATGTGATATCGGCTCACTGCAACCTCCACCACCCAGCTTCAAGTGATTCTCCTGCCTCAGCCTCCTGAGTAGCTGGGATTTCAAGTGGTTGCCACCATGCCCAGCTAGTTTTTTGTATTTTTAGTAGAGATGGGGCTTCGCCATGTTGGCTAGGCTGGTCTCGAACTCCTGAGCCTTGGGTGATCCACCCGCCTTTTCCTCCCAAAGTGCTGGGAGTACAGGTGTGAGCCACCGTGCCCCACCAATTGTTGGTTTTAAAACAAAAGAAGAATTAGGAAAATGACGATTACTCCTATTACATGGTTATAATTGAAAATACTTTTTGTTAATTTGTTGCTTATTTGTAACTGACAACTGAGCATGAAAATACTTTTGTTGAATGGACATGGGTGCTGAAATCATCCATTCTGGCTGTCAGACGTGCTTGGAATGGATATAGATTAGATATTGGAATCTGGTTCCCGGTGCTGGTGGTGGAGCTTATTGGGACGTCTTTGGGTCATGCGCCTCTTTGTGCCATCCTCTTGTCCCCTCGGTCAGGAGTGAGTTCTCACTGTTAGTTATTGCCAGAGCTGATTGTTGAAACGAGCCTGGCACCTCCCACACTCCTCTCTTCCTTCCTCTCTGGTGATCTGATGCCAGCTCCCCGTCCCCTTCCGCCATGAGCAGAAGCTCCCTGAGGGCCTCACCGGAAGCAGATGCTGGTGCCATGCTTCTTGTATAGCCTGCAGAATCTTGAGCCAAATAAGCCTCTTTTCTTCATAAGTTACCCAGCCTCGAGTGTTCCTTTATAGCAACACGAACAGACTCAGAACGTCACTGCTACTGCCACAACCCCCGTGTGAGTCCTTCCATGTACACATCCCCTCAGAATCTGCTCGTTGTGGGAGAACTCTCCAGTTTACCCTGAGATGAACAGCAGTGGAAATGCCCCTTGCGGCCCTGGGAATCAGTGGCATATTACTGAGCTGATGGCCTTTAATTGCAGTCTTCTGGGGGCAAGGTACTTCCATGTTTTACCCCAGTAAATGACAGGTCCTAGAGTAAGCTGCGAAGGAGGACAGTGCCAGCAGAAGTTTGATGCCTGGTGCTCTTTTCGGGAAGGCTTTGTGTGGTGATTTACCCGCTCCAAACCTAAGTTTCCTCGCTGGCAAAACGGGGATCAAGTTCCCGGTGCAGAAATGCTACAGAATGGCTGTGGAGGTCAAGGTGGCGTAGTCGACGTGACAGCCTGGAGACCTGAACGATGAAGACAGGTTGGTGTGTGAACCGTTTTCACCCAGTCCTCTGGTGCTCGCCGCCTCCCCTCAGCTGGGACGTGCACATGCCTTGACTTTGGATTCCAGCTCCATGGTTTGCTGGTTGTGTACATCTGGGCTGTTGCTCCAATTCTCTGTTCTCTCCTGTGAAAAACGGAGAGAATTGCCCAGGTGTGGCGGCTCACACGTGTAATCCAGCACTTTGGGAGGCCGAGGCGGGCGGATTGCCTGAGGTCAGGAGT